CCAGTGCTCATGGCTGGGGACACCGGGATGGCCAGGAAGGTGACACTGCTCCTGTGGGGTGAGTGCCCCGGGCACGGGGCTGACAGCCCGGGGATGGGGAGGGGGCACAGGGGGGCTGCGGGGTCCCCTGAGGTCCCCAAGGCCAGCAGGGCATGGAGCCCAGTGTGACCAGAGTTGTGGGGTGGCTTTGGGGTCAGGAACTGGGGACAGGGAGGGGAACTGGGATGCGGGGACAGGGACAGGGGGATGGAGATGTGGGGACAAGGATGTGACAGAAGGAGCCTTGGGGCAGGGGTAGCTGTGGGGACAGGGACACAGGGATGCAGGACAGGGACAAGGGGACAAGCACCCTGTGCTTGGGCCATGGGGACAGGTGCCAGAGGAGTGGGACCATGGGCACAAGGTCATGGGGCTGTGGCTGTGGGGCTGGCAGGGGTGACCTGAGCCAGCACAGGGTCCCCATGCCTGAGCATGGCTTGGCTGCTGTGTCCCTGTCCTCAAGACATCTGTGCCACACCCCTGTCCCCACAGAGACCTTTGGGGACAGCCCCCACACCCCGTGTCCCCGTGCTGCTGTCCCCACAGTGCCACCCCCACTGAGCCCTGTCCCTTCTCCCTTCCAGCCCAGACCCTCGGCCTCACTGGTGAGTCCCCGTGGGATGCCGTGTCCCCAGCCCGCTGTCCCCAGCCCCGCGCTGGCCCTGGCAGGCTGGTGTCCCCTGGCAGGCTGGTGTCCCCTGTCACCCGCAGGGGCCCAGACCACCCAGCTCCTCGTGGAGCCCCCCTGGCTGCCGGCGGTGCTGTGGGACCAGGTGACACTGACCTGCCAGGGCTCGGGGACCGCCGGTGCCACCACCTGGTACAAGGACTGGCGGCGCTGGTGGCAGAAGGGACCTGACAGCCTCACTGTCACCGGGAAAGGCACCTACACGTGTGACAGACCCGACACCGGGCTCAGCCCCTCCGTGAGAGTCTCAGATGGTGAGGGGGGTTTGGGTGTCCCCAGGCTGGCACCCGCGGGGACCCCGAGGGCTCTGGGTGGGCTCTGCTCCATGGGTCACCTCCTGTGTGACCAGATCTGTCCCCGGCTCTCATCCCAGAGCGAGGAGATTTCCCCCTCCCAGTGGGTGGCCCCTGGTGCCTCCCGGTGCCATCATCACCCTGCTGATGCCCCTGGTGTGACATGTCCCCTCTGTCCCCCAGACCTGCTGGTGCTGCAGGTGCCAGCGCGGGCCCTGCTGGAGGGGGACACGGTGACACTGCGCTGCCGGGGCTGGCGGGACAAACCGCTCACAAGTGTGAAATTCTACCGTGAGGAGAAGCTTCTGAGGGGGCCCCCGGCTGGGACCGAGCTGTCCCTGTCCCCCCTGCAGCTGAGCCACAGCGGCCGCTACCGCTGTGAGGGCCGGGTGGAGTCAAAGTGGAAGCAGTCAGAGCTGGTGACAGTGACAGTGCACAGTGAGTGCAGGGATGGGGACAGGGAAGCCTGACATCCTCCAAGGGTTTCCCCAGCACTGCCTGAATCCTTCATCCCTCCCTTTACTCCTCTCTGGGTCACCCACAATTCCCCAAGTCCCTCTTGGTTTCCCCCATGAGTGCCCAGTTCCCCCTGCACATCCCTCATCCCTCTCTTTGTCCTCCCCAGCCCTCCCTGGATTCCCCACCCCTTCCAAGGTCCCTGCTCCACCCTCTGCTCTCCCTCCTTCCCTGGGTCCACCCGCCCATCTCTAAACCCCAAATCATTCCCTGAGTCTCCCCAGTCTCTCCTGTGGTTCCCATCCCTGCCTGGGTCTCTCCTCCTTTCCACGGGGTCTCACCATTGTCCCCATGTCCCAACATGCCTCCCAGGGTCCCTTCTGCTCACTGGGCTCCTCTCTGCTCCCCTCCAATCCCCCTCTTTCTCCTCCCGTGTCCCCCACCCTCCCTGGGTCCCCAATCCCACCTTTGTTCCCCACTCCTGTAGGTGCCCCACCCTCGGGGGTGTCCCTGTCAGCGCAGCCCCCCGGGGGACAGGTGGCACTCGGGGACCGCCTGGTGCTGAGCTGCACGGTGGCCATGGGGACAGGTCCCCTGTCCTTCTCCTGGCACCGGGAGGGCTCGGGGGCACTGCTGAGCACCAACCAGCACCTGGAGCTGCCCCACGTTGGGGACAGTGACAGCGGCCAGTACCGGTGCCGGGTCAGCGACGGGGACAGCGTGGCCCAGAGTGACCCCCTGAATGTCACCGTGCTGGGTGAGCGGGACCCTCGGGCTGGGGGTGACCCCACCCACGGCACCCCCATCCCACCTCGCCTGTGCCAGCCCTGTCCGTGTCCCCGCAGTGCCCGTGGCCAATGCCACCATCACCCTCAGTCCCCCGGCACACCAGGTGCGCGCAGGTGACAACGTGACCCTGCGCTGCTCGG